AATGGTAAACATAATAATCTCACATCTCGAGTAGCGCGCCAAGCCCTACGGCCATCATGGGGGCCCGTGCAGCACTTGGTGCTGGGAATCGATACGCCCCTCGCGGGCGCACGCGAATTTCTCATCGTCGGCAGCGAGGTATGAGAAATTTGGACGGTGAGGTTGGGGTCGTGATGCCGCGAGGCGATATGCCGCGTGAGGCCAAGAAATGCAGAGAAAGGTGAAGGAGAGGACACGCGCGCGGAGAAAGGATGAGGAGGGCAGAGAGAGAGAGAGAGAGAGAGACTCTAGGAAAGGCACACTACGGACATCCGAGATACGACAAATTGCTACAAAATAGTCGAGCCATTCGCGTAGGAAACAGCTGGCCCCGCCCGGGTCGGTGTGGCACTCCCGTTGCTCCGCGGACACCCGCCATTCCTCACACAGCCCTCTTTGGGATATTTGATCGCCACTATCGTTTACTCCGACGGCGTGTTCCCTCCACCGAGGCGGGGAAGAGAGAGACGGAAGGCGGTGGCGATGGCGAGAAATATTTACCGACTCAATTTGGCGTTTTAACACCTCATAATTAGTGCGACGAATAAAATCGTCACTTTTTAGCGTCGCGAATGTTCAAGATTGGTAATTTGCGCTGGCTTCGTTTCCGTGTTTTGTTGGTCTGATTTGCAAGTGGGTAGGCGGGTTACCCATTTGCTCGGCGCCGGTAAGCTAAGTAACAATGGGCGAGTCTGCCCACACGCCTGCGTCGGGGCAACATACCAAGAATAGTAAAAAGATGGCACATATCGTTAACAATCTCCAACATCCCTAAAGGCAGGGCTTTAGTGAAAATATTAAAAGTGGGTAAAGATACGCCTGCTTAAAATAAAAATGTAATAATAGCCCCTATCCTAAGGAATAACAACTGCTCTGGAAACCCAAGTGTGTACATGTATGCGCTATCTCTTGAATACATGCATGTATTCAGCACGTATTGTGTACACGATATATGCAGGAGAGTGTGTTGTACATGGGCAGGTACACACTTCGGCACTTAGCTTTTAGCATAGGGCTCTGCGTATGTGTACTTGGCCATGTACACACTATATCCTGCATACATGAGCATGTACCTACTATATTTGCTGCATACATGGATGTATTCAGAATTGTTCTTAAGAACACATACATCTACACACTTGGGTTTCCAGAGAGATCAAACGGCATTTTTGTTGGCGTCTATCATTGAGATCACGTGTCTAAAATATTTTGAAACGTGCTCTCCGAATATTTAACTCAAGTCAACAATTTTGTAATTTTGATCTTTTCGAAGCAGCTTGGGTAGATTTTTATTTTTAGCCTCCCTGCAATAAATTGGAAGTTTTAATAAGATTAGAACCCAAGCCTTACCCCAGCTCTTTTGTGCTTGCAGACTGTGGAGAGCCTGGACCAACTTCCAGACAAAGTGATCCTGAAGGTGATGAAGAACTTTACAGCTGAGGACCTTCTGAGGTGCCGCCTTCTGTGCAAGAAGTTTGGGCGCTTGGCCTTGGACCCTGCTGTGTGGCGAGGCGTTTCCGTCGGCGAGGCTTCCTGTCCAGTGTTCCGCCTGGCGCCGTGTCTGTCTTTCCTGCGGGTGGACGTTCAACAGCTAGGGCACTGCAAACACCTGCGGACTACGAACTGCGCCGTGCGGGAGCTGGAACTGAAGTTCGGGGACGGTGACGGTGTCGACTTAAAGCAGTTGATCGAGTCGATCCAGCGCCAAGAGTCTCTTGGCCGGCTGAAGGAACTGGAGGTAGAGGTCGATTTCTTGCAAATGAAGAGCCGCGTACTTGCCGCGTTGCTCAAGGCTGTGGCCTTTGTAGCTGGGCTGGAACGCCTGCGCGTGTATGGTGACTCCGACATGCACAAAGGCCCCGCTCTAGGCGCCGCCTACGCCGTTCGAAGCCCTCTGCCCAGCACCCTGAAGGAGTTCCGCTTCATGGCCTGCGCGCGTCTAGACAACTTCGTCAACTTTGTATTGGGCGCGCATGCCGCCACACTGGAGAAGATCTTCCTGATGGGGCCAATGTGCACCCCAGAGACGGCTCGCTTGATTGGTGGGATGCCCAAACTCCAGGACCTAGACTCCTACCTGCTGCCTGGGATGGAGGCCGTGGCCGCCTGCGAGTCCCTGAGCATTCTGCACCTGGAACTGGACTTTCCTAATCACGCCACGCAACTGGGGGGCGTGACGCTGCTCCGGGAGGTCCACCACGTGACCGACATCACACTGGATACTTATTTTGCCGAGGACAGCGCCCAACTGGACGTCTATGCGCTGATGATCCTGGCCCTGGGCTCGTCCCGGCAGTCCCAAGTCAAGAAGTTGAGACTCAGACCCGGCTCGTACGTGTCCGGTGAAGCTGGAAAAAGGAGCTACCAGCGCATCTTTGGGGCGGTGACTGATGTGCTGCCCAAGCTCGCAGCCCTCCAGGAACTATCTGTAACCCTAGACCTGCCGGACGAAGTTCTGCAAGCCATTACCCCTGAGACTGCCCCGGCACTGCGGCGGATAGGCCTGGTGCCATCGATGTGCGTCCACGCCTGGGTGCACAGAGGAGTCGTCAGCAAGTTCTTGTCGGCCAACCCCTCTCTGCATGTGGCGCTCCCCCACAAGAGTAACCCCTGCACCTGCCAGGTGTGCACAGAGGACTGCCATCAGGATCTGAGAAAGGCGAAGCGGGGTCATTTATGGCGCATGTACCTTTGTACGCATTTAGAAGACGACTGTGATTCTCCAGAGTATCACGACCCTGTCACTGTCCAAGTCTGATTGTAAAGTGTACCCCGTTCATCGAGATTTTGGGTGGCTTCTTGTTGTCGGTTTGTGACAAGTCATGTTTGTACTTTTTTTCATTTCCCTGCAAAATGATGCTTTACGTTTGTTATCCAGTAAATTTAATTTTTTTTATGCTTTTTGATACTGACCAATCTTTCCAAAGTTGTTTTTTTTGTTTGCCATGTGTGTAACTTAGTACATCTGCTTGGGTTTCAGATTTCATATTAAATTGTGTTTAACCCTGGGTTGTAAACCAATTCTATGCTTGTGCTTTATCTTGTTTTGCTGTGCAATTTGTGAAATACATTCCGTACTCTGTATTTTCGTTTAATTATGTAGCTTCGTGCTCACACAGAATCGCTGCAATGTTCCAATCTACATTAATGTACACATGCAACCAAAAATGGTTTCCATTTCTATGTGGACATTTAAATCTGGATCTAAAACCAATATTGAGGCTGCTGACGAAGTGTTGTAATTAAAAAGTGCATCAGATAAGGGTGCCTTGTGACACTATTCCAACAAAGAATTAGAATTATTGCTAGAAAGACTTTAAATCTTAACACTACAGTAATTTGCCACGTTTTCAGATTAGCCCATCGAGTAGCATTTTTAGCATACAGCGACGAGAAATGTTTTCCAGAACCAGAATGTCAAATGAGTACGAACAAATGGCGTTGGGAGCTACCTGAAAGGACACCCCGTTACTGTTAAGGTGAGAAGGATTGGTCGGGTTCGGAAGCGGATTCTGAAAGATAGCTAATCATGTAGTTTTGCTCATATTATAATAATGTGTCACAGGGCGTCACAATTTTACTCTTGTGCCAAGTGGCACAATGAACTGTGATGCAAGTCTGATCGTTTTACTTGTTTTCATTTTTTAGAGCAAGTGATGTCACTCCACTGTATAATCAATTTTGCGTAGAGCTCACGATATTTCCTCTTGTGGTTGCAGGTTTCGGAGAGCCCGGACTGCCTCGACCTCCTCCCGGACGACGCGGTTGTGGAAGTGCTCAGGCACCTTGGTGACGAGGACCTCCTTGAGTGCCGCCTCGTCTGCAAGAGGCTCCGGGACCTGGTGATGCTGCCTTCCGTGTGGCGCCACGTGCGAGTGGAGACACCCTCCTGCCTGGTACTCTGCCGGATGCCACGCCTGGCCTCCCTGAGGGTGGACGCCATAGGGCGCTGCAACCATCTTCTTACGACGAGGTGTGCCGTGCGAGAGCTGATCCTGTTTGGCGGGGACGATGATGCCAAAGACTCGGACCGCAAAATGCAGATCATGGCGGTCCAGGAATCGCTCGGACAGTTAAGAAGGTTGGAATTGGACCTAGACTACTCTGACAGCGGGCCGCACGTACGTGTTGCATGGCTGCAGGCCATTGCGTCAGTTTCCGGGCTCGAGTTCCTCGAGGTGGGCGTCAACTCCGCTCTTACTAGGGGTTACTCCCTATATCCAGCTCCCATGGCGAGCTCTCTGAAGACATTTTGGTGCACTGCCTACGAAGGAATGGACGCCTTTGTGAATTGCATCCTGGCGACGCATGCCTCGACACTAGAGGACGTTTCCGCAATGACGTGGATTTGCAGCTTTGACACCGCTCGCCTGCTTGGAGGGATGCCCAACCTTCGGTCAGTGAGCTGCAAGATTCTGCCAGGCATGGACGCCCTGCTTGAGTGCGGGTCGCTGAGGGACCTTGAGGTGATTTTGGACTGTGAATGGCAGTATGACGATACCGATGATGATGAAATATGGGGGGTAGTCGAGCTGCTCCGTCGAGCAAACCAGCTCAGTTTCCTTTGTCTAATCCTGGAGACTGATTCTGAAGGCGCCATTGACTTTCTTGCGGAGATGGTCGACGCCCTGGGCTCTTCCGTCCGGGCGCGCTTGGAGGAGTTCCGCATTAGTCTTGACATTGTCTCCTGCCGGCTGGACGCTCATCTGCCGGTGCAGGTGTCATTGTTGAGAGCCCTGCCAATGCTCCCAGCCCTGCGAGAGCTGAAGGTGGACTGGGAGTCCGACGAACTGCTGCAGGGGATCACCCCCAAGACCGCCCCGTCCCTGCGGAGCCTGACTCTTCAGCTACCCCTCATGACACGCCTTAAAGCTTGGGTGCTGAAGACCTCGACCAGGAAGCTGCTGTTACAGAACTCCTCCCTCCACGTGAAAGCTACAGATTATATGTATAAAAACACTGCCAGCCTCGTCTCGCACTCCTTAGACCATTGCCCATCTGTGAAGTATCACTCTGCTGAAAATACCTGGATCTATTTCGATAGGGATGAGAATTGAATAAATAGTTGTCCAAGTGTTTCAATGTTTCATCAATTTATCGATAACTTTAATTATCTCCTTTAAATGACGTGTTTTTCTTTGACCGTTCTTTATTTAGTTAATTTTCTCAGCATATGTTAGAATATTTCGAATTTGAGGCAAATTAAGTGGTTTAAAGTCCCCCTTTTAAATTTTGCACCGCATTATCATATATCATATATATCCTATGTTAGTCGCTGCTTGTTTCGAAAATTTCAATCTCTCAACACTACTGGCTCATGTTTAATATTTTCGTAGCTCAATGTTCTTTATAAGTTAATTTTTCATGTTTGATCTGCCTGGTGTCCTTGCAGCAAGTATGTATGACGTACGAACTGTTTCTTTCTGGGATAGAGATCGACGAATCTTTTTCGGAAGCGGTTCTAAACGGTTTGCGACGGTGGGGGCTCCAGAACGGAACATGAGGTAAAATCTAACCATATTTGCATAGAGGCATTCCATTTCGAATTTACAGGAGTCAAAAGTGACCCTTGACGATTTCGCCCGTTATTTGTCCATTAGTTGTCTACTAAAAGAAGAGTATTCAGTAAAAATCTTAGCCCTGTGGGACAAACGGTTCAGAAGTTATGGCATTTTGAAGTTTTTAGGCTTTTTCTTT